GCTGTGTAAGACGAGAGCCACGTACAGGCTTGGAAAGCGGCGGGGATGCGGTAGCAATAGAGGAAGCTCCACGGGGGTGGAGCAGCGCATCCTCGGATGAACGGAGGCTTTGTGAGCAGGAGGGCTGTGTGTGCAGCCGGCCGGCGCGGTGGAGAGCGGTCTGCGTGTGCGGGGATGGGGGGGGCTCTGCTGGAGCCTGCAAATAGGGCTGAGCCTGGGGCAGAGGCGTGCTGCTGAAGGAGCGGGTTTAGTTTAGGCACGCGTGGTTCTGTAAGCGCTGCCATTAGGGAATGCTCAAACCTGCTTGGGCGTGAGCACTTGGTACCTGTCTCGCACGTCTGTGTGTTTCTAATGTGTTTAAATACAGAGCCACACGTGCAAGCGATTGCAAGGAAAGCGGAACGTGGGTCTCCTGTACATAGCTTTGTGCCTTTGTACGTGATTTTATTCCAGGTTAGGAATGAAGGGACTGGAAAGTGAGGTGGGCTGCCTTGTACCCAGCCTAGGGTACAAACACGGCACCAGGGTGAAGCAATTTAACCACCCTGTGTTATCTGCCCGTGCTGCCTTTGTGCAATTTCTTAAGCGGAGGTTTCAGTTGCATATGCGGAAGAACTTCTTTCCTTTGAGGGTGCCCGAGCCCTGGCCCAGGCTGCCCAGGGGGGCTGTGGAGTCTCCTTCTCTGGAGATCTTCAACGCCCGCCTGGACGCTGTCCTGTGCCCCCTGCTCTGGGTGAGCCTGCTTGGGCAGGGGGGTGGGATGGGGGATCTCCAGAGGTCCCTGCCAACCCTGGCCATTCTGGGATTCTAGGATTCTATGTGAATATGAACAGTCCCATCAGGCACCAGAGGTAAGAAGGAAGGGCTCCAAAGTTAGATATTTATCTGTGCAAGGTGTTAAAGCCTCGGCAGCGTACTTACGCAGCCGTAATCCTGAAATACCATGTGTGCCCAGATTAATTGCAGTAGGACCAAATTCAGCAATGTCCCCGGGGTGCTGAGTAGTGCAATGCCATCAGGCTGTAGTTACAGTGGCTGTGGGTTGTCTTGTGAAGCAGAACTGGAAAGAGGAACAAAGGCAACCAAAAGCCACACGCCATCCTGGGTCCGAGCACCATCTCGTTGCTAAAAGTGGGGCGCTGCCGTGCTGCAGCTTGTTCTGGGTGAGAGGAGAGGCAGGCAGGCACGGAGCTGCACCCTGTGCAACGTGCAAGGTTACAAAGACATATTTTCTTGAATCTGAAGTAAACACAGCTTCTGGTCCTTTTCTCCAAAGCCTCTGGCAATGCCTGGGGTATCTGTTCTGGGCTTCCCGCGTCCGTCAGTTCGCACCTCTCTCCATCTGCAGCACTGCGTTCACGGCGCAGCAATGCTCTGATGAGGACTCTGCTGCCAGATCGCCTCCATCCTGACCCACAGCAGCTCAGATCCTTCCTCCCTCCCAAATCCTCGCACCATTTGCTAATACACCTCAGTCTAAACCCAAAGGCCCACCAAAATTCCCATGAATGCATTTGTGCTCTCCTAGACACTGGCTTCCCCTGAGCAGGATGAGTCTCAGCCCATGATGCTGCTGGGAGCAAGGTGCCATGGGAGCACCAAGCCAGGGATCGCAGCCTGTCCCCTCCCCAGTCCCTGTCTGGTCCTGAGGGTCTGGCTGCCCCGTGGGCCCCTCTTGCTGTCAGGGCGCTTTTTTAGTCTCCCTGCATCCGGAATAGTTGGCGTCAGGCTGTAGATCTTACTCAACACTTCACTTCACCACGCTGCTGAGATAGTAAGTACATAATCCTCACAACACCCTTTTGAGAGGGCGAAACGCTGTTATCTCGCCTTAGCAGTTGGAGGCACAGAGAATAAAGGCCAGTGTTTTCAACAAGTCCCTGACGTTGGCGAAGTGGCTTGCTTGGGTTAGCAGTGGAGCAGGATTCACGTGGCCCCTGTGTGCACGACTCCAGATCAGCGTATTTATTTTATGCAGGACAAAGATTAAGGTATCATAGTCATAAGCTGTAATTATATCTGTGGGAAATAGCAGCCCAGCATTGAAGGCGTTTTGAAGCCAGCAGAGATGTGACGAGGTCCGGATGGAACCTGTACACCCAGGCTGCATTTTTTTATCAGTGTGGGGAAGAGCAGCTGAAACAGTTGACCAAGGATTCAGCACGTGCCCACCGTTGCTGAACGGCTTTTAATCAAAAGGAAATTTTCTTCTAATGGCTTAGTTTAGCCATAGTGAGAGATGAGATGTTCTCTGTTTCATAGAATGTTCAGTGAGGTTGATCACACCGTTCCCAGCTCACGTGTAAACCAACGGACCCTTGGGGGATGTAGGGAGATGGACACAGTGCCAGGGCAGCCTGAAGCCAGGGCAGCCCGCGGTGTTTTCCACAGCCATCCCTTAGGAATCGTGTTTGGGCTTGGAATTGTTGGGGCTCCTCTTTGGCGACAAGACCAGAGCAAACATTTGCTTCCTTTTCATCCTTTAAGCGGCTCTGTAATGAGAGAGGCCATGGTAGGCATACAAGGAGGGAACATGATCCTCCCTCCTCCACTTTCACCGTCCCTCTCTTGTTCTTTTTGTTCAGCTTAGCCCTTTCCCTTCCTCTGCCATCCCTGCCCCTGCAGATGGGTGCTCCCTTTCCACCAAAAATGGGGCATTGAGGTGTTTCTCCCCACACCCCATCCCTCCTGCTTCCCAGCTTTCTCCCTTGCCCTGTCCTGGGAGTTCTGTGGTCCCCCAAGGGTGCCCAGCATCCCGCACAGCCAGGGGCTGGTTTTCCTGGAGAAAGGCTTTTTATAGCATCTCTTCCAAAGCAGTTTGACAGCTCTCTGGAAACACCAGGCTGCTTATCACCAGTGCAAACCCTTCAGATACAGTGGGTGCAGTACTGCCCATTTCAGACCAAGGTCTATAAATAAAACGTGAAGTGGCTGAGAGGGCAGAGGGAACATGATGGCTTTTCTGGAAGGAAGGAAGGAATGGCCAAACAGTGCCGCTCTCGCTGTTGGGAGCTCCTAGTATGGTCTGTAATATGGGGAGCATGACCAAGGCAGGGATGAGCAAATGAGGGAGTAAGGGAACATCTGTGACGTTGGGTGGAATACACAGGGTTAGGGCGTAAAAGAGGTCCTAATCCCTGAGAGCCTAATCTAATCTTTTGCATTTTTAGAGGAGAGGAAGGATCCGGCTGTAATGCTGCACGAGGACACCGGCTTCCTCCTTGTGTTGAAAGTCTCCATTATTTTTTCCCGTGTGTGGCATCCCCGCTCTAAAGCATCACTTCCCAAACCATTCATGCGATGCAGGGCACTGCTCTTAGACCTTTCTTCCCAGCGTCCCTGTTCCCAGCGTGGCATCCCCCATAGTGACTGGGACTACAGCAAAAGCAGGTTCTCAGGCACAACCTCACCCCCAGGCTCTGGGCACATTTTTTCCTCCCCGACATACCTTGCAGGTCAGCATCAGAGACAGCCCGGGGTCCTCCGCCTTTTCTAGCCACTGCGTGTGCAAGCCTCCTTCCGAGCCGCTATTTTGCAAGCCCATGTGGACTGCAGAGAGGGAAAAAGAAAAACAAGACACTTCCGATACCAAATTTTTCCAAGCCTGAGGTCATTGCTTAAGTGCAAATAGTCACTCTTGTTTGCCTGGCTGCATCGCACGCGAGGCGGTGTGATGCAGGAGAAGCTGGAGCACAGGAAGTTAAAAAACTAATAATTATTTCTGGCTTGTCAAGGCAAGGGAGAGGTGCCAGAAGTGCTTATGGTTTGGAAGGATGGGAGCTAACCCCTAAACCCAGCTGGTGGGAAGGACTGTCCCATTACTGGTGGCCAAGGAAACCACTCTGTCAGGCTCCCACACTGGAAAACACGCTGGAGGAAAAGGAAACTTTCCAGTGCTGCCATGTGGTAAGAGTGTAATTTGGAGTCCAAATTTATGATGGCTGGGAAGGCTTTGAAGATGGGTGCTGTGGAGCCAGGCAAAATGCAGCCACCCTGGAGCAGCCTGGCCTCTCCCGTTTGCTTAGGAAACAACTGCAAATAGGATGCAGAAAGCATGGTAAGAATATTCCAGAGTGAAAAGAGGGCAAATCCTCTCCCGCTCCATGAGCAATGATGGGGGAGCGATCCTGTCCAGGGCATGGTTATTTACATCTCCCAACGAAGCCTCTGGTACTGAGACTGTTGGGGACAGCTGGGACCTCCAGTCTGGCAGTCCCTGTGACATTTTGCTTGGAAAATGAGAAATTTCTGTCGAGGTTGCAGAGTGCCAATTTCTTTGACAGCCCAAAGTGTTGCGTTACCGTGTGAGTGCAGGCAGACGTTTTGGATGGTGACCTTGTCAGAGCACGTTTCCTAAGTGGTACGAGACAGGCTCAAAAACTGAAGTGCCCCAAGAGAAAGTGCTAAGCCAGGCTGATACGATAAAGAGCACTAAGCTGGTGAGCTGGGAAGGCAGGAGGGTGTCATAGATAGAGACCTGGCTGGGGAACCGGTATGGCCAACTTATTGGGGTTGGACTAGATGACCTCTAGGGGTCCCTTCCAACCCAAACCATTCTATGGTTCTATGATTTTCTTGCTGCATTTTAAGCACAGCTGGGGAATCCTGGTTACTCACTTTCTTATTTTGACTGCATGATTGGCGTTGCAAGGAGATCGTCTTTGTGCCCCTTAGGAGGGTGCCCAGTACCTAATGCACCAATGCAGCTGTGATCCGTGGTATGGTGCTGCTATTATGTGGGTTATCAAAGCGTAGTTAGCAGGTCCACGTGGCAGCTGTAGATGTGCTGAAGAAGCCCACAGTTCCTTAACAAGGCTGCCTTCTACTGAGGCATTGTCACCCTAAGGCTTGTTCTGGTTTGTTTTGAAGAGACCTTATTGCTAGCTTTGTTACTGAAAGGATTCAGCTGAATATGAGCCAGCAGGGTGCCCAGGTGGCCAAGAGGGCCA